AGATGCATTCAGTGTCCTTAACCATTGTAACTTTCTTTCTTTCAGTCCAACCACTCGTTGTATCTATCTGTTGTAAATGCCGTACAGGGGGCTGTACTCCCATGATGTTTCCTCTTCTTGCTCCTCTTCTGCCTGAGATATTCACTAAGCACATAATTGGTTGTGGCCATGTTTTTGATGTACTCATGGATCTTTGTTGTCTTCTCCTGGACAGTGGTTCTCACTAGTCCTTGATTTCCTTGCTTCCGCTTGAGTATAAAGTCTCTGGGTGTTGGACTTGGGGTGAAACCAACACAAGTACTAAAATCAAGGACTATGCCAAATAAGTCTATTGAGGCAAGCATGAGTGTAGTAGGACTTGTACTAGGCATATCAATGGCAGTGATAGTAGCTGACTCTGACGATTGAATGGACTGACAGGAGCAAAAGTAAAAACAACCTCTGTTAAATTTGATGCAGAATTTTAAATGTAATTTATACAAATTACTTTTACCATTTTAATCAGTAGGGTTTATTAATATCAAATTGTTGTTTTATGTAGTGTCACTACTCACAGCAGTCCTCTTGGAACTTCACTGCATACACTATATTACTCTGTTTATGCTGGGGTACCTGATCCTTGGTTCCTTGGTTTAGAACGATATTTAGTGTAATGTGTTTTGGAATGTGAAAGACACAGAAATGTGGTATTTTAGAAAAAGTGCATCTTAGCTATAATTTTAATTGATTACTAGTGCTGTCAGCGTTAATCTCGTTAAAATGGAGTTCACGCCATAACGGCATTAACTTGGCATATCTCCATTAGTGAGTTAGCGCAGATTGCCCCGTGTGAGGGGCTGATGGCGCTAACGTGTTAACGAGCTAACGGTGCTAATGAGCTAACCGCGCTAACGTGTTGACGCCGTGCATGATTAGAGATTTGAAGCTCAAAAGAGAAAAACTAGCTTTTATTTAATAACAGTTTGCAATTTTAAACATACACAAAGAAATGTTGGTCCCAAATGACTACAACACTGATAATTTTATCTGTTTGATCTAGAGCTCTTTGGTTACATAGACCAGGACCTTCAAACCATTAGAGCCCTAAAGGAAACAATAACCAAGTTAGAACTGGGTAAGTGTCATCAGCAGCAACAGAACATAGGTTTTACAGTAACTCCATCATTAATAACTCTGGGGGTTTCCTTGTTTGCTTTTAAAATTTCAATTATCTTTCAGATTATTATTTAACATAATAATTTGAACTTTGAGCAATAAAGCTAAATGGAAGGATAGATGGTGTGTAATGACTGGACGAAACCTTTTTTCTGCTGGTTTCTTTAAAATAAAAGTAGTTCATTCCAATTTCTCTTTCTATGCTGCTTTCTTTTTCAGTTATAAACTACGATTTTGCCCGAGGAGTTGATGGAAAATATTTTGTGTCCAACAAGGAAAGAGGCTCTTTCTTCCAAGCTGTTGAGTTCTGCTCCCAGCGAGGATTAGAGCTGGCTTTGCCCCAGAGTGATAAAGAGAATAGCTTACTCACTGAAGTGTTTGAAAACAGTCCTAAAACAGTCTGGATTAATGTCAGCAATAGAAGAGCAGAGGGAAACTTTGGAGCTGATATGAAAAACCGACCTCTGACCTTTACCAGCTGGGCAGAAGGGCAGCCAGACAAATCCATCCAGGATCCAGGCTGCACCACGCTGTCAGAAGATTGTGTTTGGAGAGTGACAAGTGAATGCTCTATGAATGCTTACATTGTTTGTCAGTTATAGAAATGCCTTAGATGACATGAAGTAAAGTATAACTCTTTGGATTCTGGTG